GACCATCACCTCCCCCAATTCCGGGGCAGAATCAGCGCCCATCACGCCGCGCGCCAGCGGCACCACGGCCCTGCAGATATTTGTCACCACCTCTCGCTTCGACGGTGAGCAGTACTTGATCAACTCATTCAGGTCCACCCATTTGGCACCGCAGAATTCTCGCCTTTCGCCTTGAACAGCCCTGAAGCGAAGTAGCTCAACCACACTTGTGTCAACGATGTACAACAGAGGGTAAAGCTCCTGTCCCACGATCCCCAACTTCCGCCACGACTTGGATTTGTAGCGGAAGGGGGCACGCGGCTCATTACACGCCACAGCGGGCAGCACCTCCCCTATGAGGTGCAGATATGAGGCGGGGAGGCCGATCTCCTCGAACACCTCCCGCTCGGCTGTCTGCTGGACGGTCTCGTGCACTTTCGCGCCGCCCTGGACCCACTGCAGAACTTTCCGGTCGTCGCTCCGGCGGCAGCCTAGGAAGCAGCCGCGCTGGTCCATGATGATAGCGCACACGCTACGTCGGTACGTGGCACCGTCATCGGCACGGACAGTGACCTCACCCGAAATTGTGCTTCCTAGCACTGGAGCGGGCCGTTCTGCATGGATGATTGCAGGGTCGTTCAAAATCACGCTCATTCTCGCATCACCTTACAGCGTACACGTACCCACACAGTACCAGAGGCAGACTCCTCTACTCCACGCCTGTTCCCCCAATCACTTTACCATATTTATTCCATTTGTACAGAGCAATAGCGACATTGGCAGAGAGAGAGAGAGAGAAAGAAAAAAAGAAATCAAGACCGATATGTAAAAGTGTCAATGAATGTGATGTCATCCAACCAGACGAAATACCGAGACACAGCAACAACACCAGGAGTGAAGAACAAAGATAGGCACACGCGAACAATGATTTCTTGATAACATAAGTATCATCACAAAGAGAGAGAGAGAGAGACGGCCGGAAGGTGCCATACAGAATGGAAATCACACAATGGATTTCCTTCTCAAAAAAATATGGCACATTTTTTTTTTGTAAAAGATCTCTTAATCCACGAAAGCTGGGAGACCAGCAAAACCAGAAGCAACTGACTCAGGTTACAGGCATTCACTGCGGTTTATAGAGACATAAACTAAATATAGAAATAATAGGAGAACTGGAGGGAACTATGTGTGAAGATTCTAGCAATTAAGTGATATTAATTGCCCTTCACAGCACGTTCACCTCTTCAAGATACTATTGTCACTTATTCTTCTCCCGCACACGCCTTTGTTCCTCCTTTGGGAGCGCCAAAAGGAGATCTGTTTGGCGGGCATCTATGAGTGACGCCAGTGTCACACAACAGTACGCCTCCGAGTGCAGCAAGGGCGAGATACGTCCCAGCAGACAATACTTCACGTTCTGCCACCTACTGCCGTTATCCCACGGGTTTACACCCATATACGGCGGCTTGGCGTACTTCCCCTTCAGCATCTCCGCGGTGGTGATGCCTTTAAACAGCAGGTAAAGGTGAACCAGAAACAGTGAGGACATGAACACACCGATGCCAAACACGAGACCGTAAATAACGATAGGAAGGTAGTAAACAAGTCTCAGCGCTTCTCCCAATGACATATTCGGGTATTTGAGCGCAAAGGTTATATTCATAGCCATATTCAAAGACAATATGTAGCCCATCAAAATATGGATGGAGAAGAGGAAAAAGAGGAAATAGTGGTAGTTGTTCTTGCCGATACAGCTACCAAGCCACCAACAATGATGATCCAAAACATCTACACAACAGTTGCAGATTCTGCAGTGGTGTGTACGTGGGGCCCTGAATATATGACACGTGGGACAGAAAAACAGATCTATATCCACCATCCGCTCAGCCTCACTGCCGGTCGCATCTTCGGCCAACGCTTCTTCTTTTTTGTCCATGAGTCTCATGCTCTCGTTGTCAAAGTAGCCATGCAGAAGCGAGCTGGCAACCATAGCACTTGACATCTCATATTTGGTGTGTTGCAAGCGTTCCCGCACCTTTTTGTAGTTCGGCACAGGCAGCAGTGCTTGCACGGCCTGCCTATCCATGAACCCCTTCTTCTGGCGCCGCGGGACAAAGCCAGGGTTCATCGTCCCGCACTTCAGCAGTAGTCCAAGCATGATGATGAAGAGAATCCACGTCACAAGGTGAAATCCCCAATGCAGAAAATCCTTGTACGCAACAGTGTGAAGAATGGGAATTAAAGCGAGCATAACAAAATCTATAATCATTATGAACCACATTGGGCCAACCATCACATAGTTTTCTTCCGATTCTTGCACTGCCTTACCTTTGCGCTTGTTTGGCCAGCGAAAGAGAATACTGCAACGTCGCGAGCATGGCCATGTCGGTCCATATATTTCGCGAGCCGCTGGAGAGAGAATCTCCCCGATATGGCAGCGCAGCTCATCTAGTTTTGCGCACTCTTCCCAGTACTCCTCTGCAGTGGAGGCAATTTCGTGAAACTTCGCATTGTGCTCGTCGGTTTGCGGCGGATCCGGTGGTAAAACCTGAGCGGTATCCACAAGAAACGGATTGGCACCGCCTCCCTCATTCCCAACCACACTTCCTGCCTCCACATTATCATTGGACGTGTACATTCCCTTACGTCACTTTCATTAGTGAGTTTGTGTGTTTTTTTTTTGGTGTAAGAAAAAAAAAGGGGGAAAAGGTAAGAAAGGAGAGAGCAAGACACTTGTAGATGCAGATTTGTGTGTGCGTGTGGATGTGAGGCAAGAAATTTTACGCCTTCTCGGAGCAAGGAACAAGCGGCAAGCCGAACAAACTGACAGAAGTGAGACCAAGATCCATTTACTCTGCTCTGGTCTGCTCCTCAACGCCCCGCGTTGAAACACTCGTATGACTTCACCAGAAGGGTGTCGGCTTTACCACCAACATGACCAACATCGCCTCGAAGCGACTCATAAATGTCTTGGGCCGCCTCCAGTGTCCTTTTCCTTCTTCCTTCCGGAAGCCCAGGGCAGGTGTGCAGGAGTGGCCACAACGGCAGCGCCAACGACAGTGCCGCCGTCCTGGCAGTGGCCGCCGCTACCTCATCCTTCTGAGATTCTGTGCTTCCGGTAATAGCACGGCTGACCATCGATGCCACATCAGCAGGCGTGAGTGGCGCATTCTTATCCTTCTCCTTCCCCTTCTCCATCGCCTGACTGCCTACTCGACCCCTTCTTAAACTCAGCACCAATCGTGACTGCTGATGCTGCCGGCGCCGTGGCTCAACACGCGGCAGGGAAGCATGATACGTCTCGAGAACGCGGAGGTGCTGCTGCATCTTCACGGTTGCTCCTGTCGCGTCGATATTCATTCGGCACACCCCGTCCTTATTATCACCGTCCTGCCGCTGCAACGTCACAGAAGCCGCAAGTGAGACACACTGTGGGAGTTTTGCCGCGAGGCGTGCGAAACGTGCATGGGCGTCGGGGTGGATTCGCCGCCACACGGCCGCTGCGCCAACGCCAACACTCTGCAGCTCAGAGAGGAAGACCGTCAGGGGTGGCGCCTCTGCCGCGCTGGATGACGGCTGGCTGGATGCGTCAAGAAGACTCTCCAGCAGCTGATTCAGCAGCGGCGTGAAAAGAAGTTCGGCCTCTGCGACGTGCTCCTCGCCCTCCTGCACGGCGTGATCCATGATGTGGCGCAGAACGGCTCGCCGCGCAAGGTACTCCGACGGTGGCAGCATTTTCGCCCAAAATTCAGTGTGGAGCACCCACAACGAAAGAGCAGCGGGAACAACCTTTGGGTTCAACACCAACAATTGCATCTGAACACTGATCCCCTTATTCTTCCTCATGGTCTCATTTCCATCCCCTTCATCATCACCAGCAGCAGCAGCAGCATATCCGTCCGCATTCTTCATTTTAGAGTTCCCTTCTCCTTCATTATAGTCCTGCGCAGCCCCCAAAAAAGAGAAGGATGTGCGCTGCTCCACTCCCCTCGCCCATGCAATTCCTGACACTCGCCAGGAGCACGGCAAGACATGTGTGACGCGGCACTGGGGTAGCCTTTGCTGTTCCCCTCGCACCGCCACAACTGCCGCTGGAGTCGTGCCCGCTCCTTCTACAGCAAAGCACACCATCGTGAAGGGCACGTAAATGTCCCACACACGCTCTGAAACTTGACGACTGTTGCCCAACAAACGTCGCGTCGCCTCAGTTTTGGGAGGCCTCAAGTGAAGAAGAATTTCGCGGCGTGCCGTGTCCTGTTGTTTCTCTTCGTAAAAGAGAGAACCGATGAATAGCATGGGTGGGAAGGCAACATCAAGTTGTTCTTGTTGTTGCTGCTGCTGCTGCCGCCACCGTCTCCGCCGCAGTAGGAATAAACGCACAAGGTCCAGATGCATTCCACTAGAGACTGACACAATAGTTTCACCCAAGGAAACCGAAGAGGTCTCATGAGGCTCTTTTTTTAGGAGCTGCCATGGAAAGCAGCACTGCCGACGCAGAGACGCTACCGCGAAGGCGGACGATAAAAACACAAGGGTCTCGTGCACCTCCTGGACATACCGCTGCGCCAGACACCACGGGTCTGTAGTCGCAGACGACGGCGGGCTCCACGATGCGAGTTGGCGCTCCTGGCGCAGCAGCTCTGTCCAACCCAACTCGTCGCACAGCAGGCAGAGACCCCATGCGCGCGCAAGGGCGGAGCTTGAGGGAGCTGTATCGAAATCCGGCGCCAAACCACGGTCAGCGGCCACACGCCACTTCATCTCCAAGGCTGCACTCAATACTGTCGCCTTGGCACGCAAGGCATCGGCGCGAAAGATCACTGGTGTAGAAGTCTGTGTCCGAATCGTCCGCAGCACAGTCGCCGCCAGAAGCACCGCTCCGCGCATGCACAGGGCACCTCGGCGAAGACTCAGCAGTGTGCTGCTGCAGTTAGACACTACCCACGTCGTCTCGCCGGTGCATTTCGCCACCTTGCTACACACACCTCCTTCCGCAGTGGTGGTGGAAGCCCCCTCCCATGCGGAGTGTGCCGCACGCGTCAGTGGGAGAAGGCAACCACACAGAGTGTGATCGCAGTGGAAGAAGTAGAGATTCGTCACGCCACTACTTTCCTCACAGCCGTCAGTGAACAAGTGCGTATATGCGGGGTGGTGTTCCACACGCCACTGTACCCCTGCATGCATTTCCATACCAAGTGACTCCGTATCACCTCGCCGCGGACGCACAAATGCGCAGAGCAGATCCTCCGGCCGTGTCGGCAGCGCGTTGAGTGGCAGCACCTCCCACTCGGTTGCGGTATCAGCCGAGGCAGCACACACCGCCGTCACCTGCACATCTAGTGCCGTGAAACATATAGCATCTGCAGCACTCTCAGCGTACGCCACTCGCGGGCAAATGAAGTAATTGTAGAACCCCTGTCCTGCGAGAAGCACATAGCTGTCGTCGCCGGGAACGCACACCTCCTGGGATGCGTTGTGCCGCCCCATCTCAGATGCCATCGTCATACACGGGTAAGAGATGTCGGCCAGCTCCGATAGAGGGAGCAACACCACGTCGATGCAGCAACGCATTATAAGCAACACACATCCGTCCTCTGATTCTCTCTCTCCCTCAGCGGCAGACGGTATTAGTGTAAGCATGAACTGCTTGCCTTCGCCGTCATTGTATCCATCGTCATCGTAGTCTTCGCCCTCCCCTTCGTCCCCTTCCTCTCCCCTTACCTCAGCTGGATCAGGCGGATCTGCTGTCGCTCCTAAAGGGGCGCCGAGCTCCTCGTTGTCGTCGTAGTCAGCACTTGGCCCGAGCACCAGCTCAAGAACATCGTCTTCGCATTCAGCATCATTAAGCTCCTCTCCCTCTTCCTTTTCCGCCTCTTGCTTAACACATTCTTCTAACTTCTTCATATCAACTGTGCCAAATGGGGCAACGTGCTGCACATCTAGGGCCATTGATGATGAAGGCGATGGTGATGATGATGGTGGTGATGATAAGACGGCCTGATTGTCGATGCGCACGATGTGCCGTCTCGTTTCACAGAGCGTCGTGCTGTTGAGTTGCAATTGACACCATTCACCCGCATTGTTAATTGTCTCCCCGTCCGCCTTCGCCAGCAGCACGCGGACCTCTCGAATCATATGCAGAGGGGACAATGTCAGCAGCAGCGCGGGATCACGGTTCTTGTCATCATGCACTATTCCCACTTCTGCTACTGCTGCTGCTGCTTCGCCATTCACAACGTTCGTTGCGTGTATGTGATCAAACTCAACTGTGACAGTTGCGCTCGTGCAGATGTCGCCGCGTGGATGCAGGAAACTCCCCGTTAGCTCCGCTGAGACATGTGGGAGAAGTTTTGGATGCACAGCAACTGACGCCATGCCTTTTCCTTGCTTCACTTCCTTTCCCCCTCCCCCTCTCCCCCAGTGCTTTTGTTCGCGCAGAATAAAATACAAGAAAAGGCAATAACACAAGCACATATGTACATATATNTATATATATATATATATTCATTCGTTGACCAAAAGCTGCTTAGGGGAGTAGCCACCTCTTTTTCCTCCTGATTTAATCGTTGAGTTTAAGATCACAGAGCTCATCTCACGAGATACCACTCTTGAGCGCCTTGAACACCACTCGGATTCTCTTCACGAACAACTGAAGCTGCTCTTCCTCACCCTTTGGCTTATCGTCGTCACTCTCCGCATTTTTACCCCTTCGATGCACGTCAAAGGGAGTACCTGCGGCGACAACGTCGTAGAAGTGCGGGATCCACTTTTGCGACTCTCGCTCATCGACGAAGTAACGTTCCATCAACTTTGCCAAATTTGAGCGCAAGACCCCTGTATCAATCTTCACGTCGTGCGCACGAAACCCATCACCACCGAAAAACACCTCTGTGAGTTTTGCGGCAGGTAGCTGTAAGATTAGCCGGAGAAGTAAGATACGGGTGAATAAGCCAATTGTTCGGTTTGTGCTGTCCATGTCCAATCCACGCAGCACGCCAAGCGTAAAAACGCCCCCTTCAATGAGTTGAGTGAGTAGGCAGGAAAGGTTGAGGTAGCCTGTCACATCGACAGACTCCATGCGTATCACCTTGAACATATCCCACAGTGCGAACTGAAGACTATTTCTACACGATCCCTTTGCGCTGCAGAAGCGTTGAATAACCTGCGTGTAGTACGGGTTATACACCTTTTCCTGGTAGCAGCATTGCAGAAGAACAGTCAGCGTGTCGTGTAGGCGGCTGAAGGAGGGATCACGGTGCATGAGAAGCGTGAAGGCTTCGAGGTCATCTGAGGCATTCACAATGCACTGAAATACCTCACGCTTGTTTTCAGTATTTAGCCGCTGCCCAGATATAGCCTTCTCCTGCTCTCGAAGTTGACGAATTCGTTCAGCCTTAAGCTCCGTTTCATCATCTTCGCTCTCTGTTTCGGAATCTGTGGAAAATGACGAAGAGGACGCTGCTTCTTCTTCTTGGGATGAGGTGCCATCGCGATCCTCTTCACTCTCTTCCATTTCTGCCTTGTCCCATGCACCGGGGGCAAACCAGCGCGGGGGCTTGTCCTTGCGTATCATACGCTCCCACGTTACCCCTGACAGCACGTTGGTCGTAGTCGTGATGCGCAGCAGCGCACGCCTGTTGGTGGAGGTACCACCGCCGCTGCTGCTGCTTCCACCTGGCAACAGGGTCACCATATCGTTCAAAATCGACTCGATAGGTACTTCCTCTTCACCCACAGTGCGCTTGGCACTGCGGGTGTGGCCCCTCACAATATCTGTGATGTAGCCAAGAAGGGCTGTATACCGGTTGGTGCCTTGCTGCTCCCTGCCGTAAGCCTTTGCCTCTGCCAGGGCGCGCTCCATCTGCCCCGGTGCCTCCTTCAGCAACTTCTCTCCACATGCGCGAAGAAGCGTCAGACCACCGGCCACAGCGCAGACATTGCCGCTGCTCCCAATCCGAAGTACACTACGTAGAAAACTTGACACCAAAACCGAATCCACTGCATTAAGAACATAGAGATGTGCGAGGACCATGGCGCCGTTTGACACAGCTGTCTCATTATCGTTTTGTAGGTGCTCCTGAAGTGCCAAGGACAAACTTTCCACCAGTTCTGCACCAACCACATTACCATGGAGCAACTGCATACCCCGAATAAGCCCAGCAAAGGGCAAGCTTACAATCGGAGTAAGGGGTCCCGCATCTAGCATGCAGATGCGGTTAATGTGGTGTGCCAGGCTACACAAGACGGAGGCTCGCGTAGCACCCTCAACGCCACCTCCAAAGAGGTCAGAGGCCTCCTTAGTCATATCTGCCACATTGCGTACTGTAAGTTTATTAATGATTCGCCGAGTGACCTCATTTAGAGCGGTACCTCTCTCTTGCGTAACTTTACCTCGCAGAGTTGGTGGAAGGTATTTTGCCGGAGTAATTTCTGTTTCATTAGTCTTTCCTGTCAATTCCCTAGACGGATCTGCCCCACTGCGCTCGCTCACCTCGTTCCCATTTTTTTTCTTCTTCGCCGCATCCTTCTCCCGCTTACGTTTGGATTTGTCCTTTTTAAGTGTGTGGGGGGCCCTACTGTCGCCAGTCGTTCTCACTTTTCCTCCCTCCTTCATAGGTGCAGCAGAGACGGGTGCATCTGCTGAGAAGTCTGTGGGCTGCCGTGTGTGCTGCTTCTTTACTCTCTGTCCGTTTACGCCTTCTCGCAGGAGGCGGCGCTGCTCGACCCACCGCTCATGCGCCTCGATGCGGGCCTGCTTGCGCGCCTGCCGCTCGCTGCGGCGCCGCTGCTTGCGCCCCTGTTGTTTGTCACCTTCATCATTTTCGACTTCTTCACGGGCACGACGTCGGCGGTTCAGCTCCATTC